CGGCAAAAGGTTGTCCACAGGGCGGGGTACTTTCCCCCCTTATGTGGTCATTTTTAGTTGACCCTCTGCTGAACGATCTTTCCATGAAGGGGGTAGATTTCCAATGCTATGCAGATGATCTCGTCCTAATAGTAAGAGGGAAATTTGAAGCGACGATCTCAAATGGCCTAGAAGAAGCCCTCAATACTGTGTACAGATGGTGCGAGAGGGAGCAGATGTCTGTGAACCCCCGGAAAACTGTAATCACCCCTTTCACCAAAAGGCAAAAGATAGATAAGCTTCGTCAGCCTGTCCTCCCACTAAACATTGTAATTTACAACAATTTGCAGCAAGTATGATAGTCTTTTACAAATGAAATCTTTCTTCGCGAGTTAAATGAGAATTTACTGTGAATTTGGTTATTTGCAACTTCCATTCGAAAATTGCCTGTAAGATGATTTTTAGAAAGTTTTCAAAAATGAGCTTATTGTAACTTGAAAAAAATGAACTTACCACCACCTCGATATGAGAGTTGGCGTTAAATTTTCAGTATGTAACTTCACTAGTGAAAGTTTATAGTAAAATCATTTTTATCAATTTACCACAAGTAACACTCTACAAATTTATCATAAGTTTCCATTGAGCTTATATGTATCACGTGATACAATTCGGATGCATGCGCAAGCGCAATAATTGTCTCTTCGTTCTCCTTCTTCACCTCTCTGCCATCTTGTTTTGTCTTTGCCAGTGAGTTGTGATGAGTTTTGGTGTTGGTGCGCTGTGTGATTATTTCTTATTTTCTTAACAAATTACCTATCGAATGTTCGGAATTCAATAACCCTTCTAAAGAAGATCATAGTTGAGCAGAAATGGCGGTAAGTGAGTCATATTTCATTATCTTAATCATCGTGACTCTTTCATGAACCAGAAATAATTTAAGACTTGATACAGGTGGAAAAAAATTGTGAAATATCAATAGACGTAATTACGATATATGATTATAACCGTCATGAAAACTTTTCCTATGAATATTTTCATCGTGCTTCCTTTTAACCAACCATTATAACACAATTTTGTAAACAAACATCTCAGATATAGGTACCTAACCTGTAAATGCTAAACAGAGATTGTCAAAAATGTTTCAACATTCATGATGCTCTTTTGTTTTCATTTTCTACCTCCATGTTTTTGATGGTAGGTATAGGCACAGATTAAGGTTTGTTAATCTGTGGTATAGGTATTCATATTTAATATTACTGACTTTATAAAAGCTTGTTTCAAATACCTACCTCTACTTATCTCGAAATCCGTGAGGTTTTTACTGAGGTCAAGTTGTTGTTTTCTGATGGGTTGGGAACTTGTCTATTATGACCCAAGCATGGTTTACTGGATACTCTATATATACAGGGTGAACCATTTCAATCTATTATGGATATAATAGTTCTTTCCGGAAGCCGCTAACAAAAAAATTTGGCTTTGACAAAAGTTGAAGGGTTCAATGGGGGCCAAAGAATGGCCCTACTCACAACCCACCCCAAGGCACCCATACGGCCCTGGGATATGAAATTTTTTTTTCATGGGAACCGAGATGGGAACCCAATTTTTTCACAACGGATTCTTGTTCTACGGAGAAAATAAAATAAAATGTTTAGCAAATTTTTATTTGCGCCCCTTAAAGGGCCCCAAATTTCTAATTTTGATATTTGAGTTGAAGAAAACAAAGAATCTTACTTCATTCATGTAATTCGTTAACCAGATTGAGGGTTTGCTTAAAAACATAAAGTAGTGCCAAAGTAGATTAGCAGGAAGGCCTAATTTTCTCCAACTCATATACCAAAATTAGAAATTTGGTGCCCAAATAAAAATTTGCTAGACATTTTTTCTTCACCGTAAACAAGAAGCCGTTGTGAAAGAGTAGGGTTCCCATTGAAAAAAAAATTCATCTCCGTATGCGGGCCTGGGGGGGGGTTGTGAGTAGATCTATTATTTGGTTTCCATTGAACCCTTCAACTTTTGTGGAAACCATTTTTTTGTTAGCGGCTTCCGGAAAGAACTATATTATCCATAATAGATTAAAATGGTCCACCCTGTGTATGAATATAACAATTCTGGAACATTGAGAAAAAATTGGTAATTTTTTTCACAATCATTCCAGCTGATATCTATTTATTTCTTTTCAGAATCTGTTCGTGCATCATATCCCAACATGGATGATAGCTTTTTGAGAAGATAGTGATGATTTGATTCCATTATGCTAAAACGAGATTTATTAGAAAAATTTACAACTGAAAAAGCCTTTATCCTCCATACTCATAAAACTAATGTTTTAGTTTCTACTAGAATTTTTAATAATTTTTTATGAATAATCGTTATTTTTATTTGTAAAGATGATATAAAATTGAATAAAAATATATCAAAAAATGTATTGCTTCAATAGTGGTATTATCATCTCTTATCTTGAATTGTATTAATTTCGTTCTAATAATATGATTGGTAGAAACAATTATCTGCATGTGGAAATACTTTTGATACTGACAAAAGCCCGTGTATAATGTCATCAAATTTGATCAAATTATTTGATATAATGCCATATTCTTCAATTCATCCGAATGGAACATTGTCGAATGATTTTCAAGAATGAGATGAAAATGGCGTCACTTCAAACAAATTTGATGAAATTGTTGACCTTTTTTATCAGTATTAAAAATATTCTCAAATTTTGCACCAGCCTACCAAAGTGTAATTTCAATGCAAACTCAGAATTAGCTCTTCTATAACTCATTATCCACTCGCCCTGATTTTGTCGTAAGTATTACTGGTATTTACAACACCATATAAAACAATTAACCTGCGAGTTTACCATCAGCTCAAGATACAATTTTCGTAAAAATTGCAGAGAGTTCTCAAGTGACAGCTATAATTTTTTGCAAGTTTACTGCAAATTATCTGAGAATTCGCAAAATAATCATTTAGAGTAAACTCACTGGAACTTCGGTATGAGCTGACATTCAATTTTCTGACAACTTCCATCATGTAAGTTTCCATTGTGAATTCCGTAGGAGGAAGATGCCATCTCTGAGTTAACTTGCTGCAAATTGAATGTGTAATTTACACTCGCAAAAATGTACTTGCTGGAAATTTGCAGTAAATTGAAATTGTTTAGTGGGCTATATGGAGAGAACATTCCGTTTGCGGCGGAGGTGAAATATCTAGGGGTCACCCTAGATAAAAGACTCACCTGGAACGCCCATATGGCAAAAACTATTAACAAAGCAGACTTTTCCTCTGGAACCTCAGGAGGGTATGCGGCAAATCATGGGGAATGAACCCCAAACAGATTTACTGGATTTACCAAACAATGGTTAAACCAATGGTCACGTATGGCTCGGTAGTCTGGTGGACTAAAGGTCTGCAGGGAACAGCCAGGGCAAAGCTTGCTGGTCTTCAGCGGCTGGCATGCCTGGCCATTACAGGGGCGATGTCCTCTACTCCAACGGCAGCGATGTAAAACCTCCTGAACCTCACTCCCCTCCACATTGTCTTGGAGAGGGAAGCCAGGATGGTTTCCTACAGATTCCTGTCATTGGAAAATCAAATTAGAGGGGGGCGACTGCTGGACCACTCCGGGGTACTGTGTGAAACAAAAAATCACCAAACTCTAGGAATGGTTCCCGACATGTTGGTCACTCAGACACACGTGAAAAAGTCTTTCAAAGTCCTCTTCCCGAAGAGAGACGAATGGGCAAGTGGATCAGTCCAATTCCCAGAGACCGAACACGTAATGTACACAGATGGTTCGAAAACCCCTCTTGGAGTTGGAGCCGGTGTGTTCAGCAGAAAACCGAAGACGGAAATTTCCGTCAATCTCGGCAAATATGCTACAATCTTTCAGGCGGAGGTATTCGCAATTGAATGGTGTGCTAGAGAGTTGTCGAATAAACCTCTAGTAAACAAAAATATCAGTATTGTATCAGACAGTCAGGCTGCTCTTAAAGCACTGAGCTCCAGCAAGATAAATTCCAAGCTTGTACGGAGCTGTATTGAATCCCTAGAATGCATGAGTGCTAACAACAGAGTCACTTTGCTGTGGGTGCCTGGACACCAGGGGGTGGAGGGTAACGAGGAAGCCGACATCCTCGCCAAACAGGGAACCGAATCCGTGTTCATAGGACCAGAACAATATTTTGGGGTCACCGCAAGTGCGGCGAAAACAACAATCTCGGGCTGGGCGGAAGGAAAAACACTCACGTACTAGTCTGAATTACCCAGGATTAACCCATTCGAAGGCGTTCCTGCCTGAACCATCGGAAAAAATAACCAAGCAGATCCTAGAATGGAGCAGGGGTAACCTGCGAATTCTGACTCTGGACTGCTTACGGGACACTGTCGTCTAAGATATAAGGATGGGTCTGAACCAACAAACGGACTGTCGGTTCTGTTGTGTGGAAGACGAAACGGCTGAACACATATTATGTTCATGCTCTAGCTTAGAAAGACTAAGGTGCGACACATTTGGCTTTACCAATTCAGAACCTATCGATTTCAGACAAATCTCACCCAATTCAACCATGAACTTTGCAAAAAGATGTGGACTGAGGACCTCTAGGGGTGAGCCACAATAGACCCATCTGGGGTCGCAGTGGAGGGGAGGTATTCGCCCCACTCACATGGAACCTAACCTAACCTATTTTGAAATGTATAAACAGAAAACAAAAATAAGAATTAAACATTGACACTCTGTATCTCGAAAACGGATAATTTTCGGACATGTTAACACGAACTTTTCTTCTTATTTTGACGTTAGCAACATGATCCTGAATTTTCTACACGTACTCAAGAAACACCCTGTATACATGACGTAGCACATTTTGGCAAGATGAGCTTTATCATCAACATAGAATCGAAGTCAGTTACAATTCACATTATAGGCTGTTTTTCTTACGCATATTCCGAACAATAGTTCAGCCCTACTCCTACATCTTCTATGTTGACTAATGATTCATTATAATCAATATACTCACGACATTGATAAGTTGAACGAAAGCCAGTCCAAACCTGACGTCCACTTTTTCTGTCATATTCTGAACGGGGCGAATCAGCTTGTTGTAACCTCTGAAGAGGTCACGAACCAATCGCTCCTCGTCTTCAGAACAATTTACTGAAAAAAAAACAGATTCAGCAAAAAGAAAGTCTCTTAACAGTCTAAACCATCGTTATGAGTTGGCGATGCCACTGAAAGTTATTAGGGTGTATCGACTCGTTGGGGTTGTAAATCCTAATCGAATTTACGTCATATAGGTACCTATACAGGGTGTTTCACAGGTAAAGGGAAATATTTCAATGGTAGATAGGGGTCACCAAGGTGGTTCTGAAAATACCATATTTGATAGGTCCTAGAGTTTTCATAACAGAGATACAGGGCGATTTATCGATTTCGAATAATTATTCATTCGTCTATATAAGTATTGAACTACCCAGTATATTTTTCTAAAATTTGGTATGGAGCTTAAACTTGGGACGTTGAATTCATTCACCTATCGGGCGAAGTGAAAATCCAGGTTCGGCTTCAGGAAAAATTTACATTTATTCGAAATATTAAAATAACACACTGTATGTAATAATTGACAAAAGTCATCAAAGGAATCGTGAAGAGGAGGAAAAACTGAACTGGATTCGTTGCTTTCTTTTTACCCGCCACCAATTCTCATCGTAACAATCATAAACAGGAAGCTGAAAGTATGTCAATTTCAAGAGTATTAAAATTATGGAACCACTTTCAATTTTGATTATTTGATATATTCTTGTTGAATGATCGTTCGAAAGAACTTACTCAGTCTCACAGTCTTTATAACAGAGATACAGGGTGAATTATCACTCGTCCATAAGTATTAAACTACCCATCGCAGTAATATTTCCTCAAATTTGGTATTGAGCTTACTTGGGACGATGGATTCATTGACCTATCAGGCAGGATGGAAATACAGGTTCAGCTTCAGGGAAAGTCTTTATAACAGAGATACAGGGTGAATTATCGAATTATAATTCAGCCTGACAAGATATACTGGGTAGTTCAATACTTATAGACGAATGAATAATTATTCGAAATCGATAAATCGCCCTGTATCTCCGTTATGAAAACTCTGAGACATATCAAATATGGTATTTTCAGAACCACCTTGGTGACCCCTATCCACCATTGAAATATTTCCCTTTACCTGTGAAACACCCTGTATTGTAGGTATTGATCTTTCCATGTGAAAATAGTATTTGATGCTATAAGACCAATATAGCCCAATCAGTTCTTGATTACTTTATCAACTTCATATCTGAAAGCGGTCTGATATTCACTTATACATATTGTACATATGAGTCGTATTTGCCAGTATTTGCCAGTCATTTTGAGAAAACTGTGAAAAATTGCTAGTTCATGATATTCTGCAGTAATCTCATCGAACTTTTCAGTCACTATATTCCTATGTGAATTCTTGAAATGAAATCACAGTTGATTTTCTTGGAATACTTAATGATCGTAATCTCCTGATTGAAGTTGAAACTGTGTGAACACGCGACTGATCACGTTATGATTTAGGTACACTGTCATTGGTTGAACAGGAGATACAGAGTTTTGATTCCAGATATCCTTGTGAATATATTCAATCTTTGATATAGCTCACTTTTCCTTTTGAGTTTTTCGATACATTTTGAAGATTGTTGAAGCCATCGAATAGCTAACTAATTTTTTTTCATTTTCGTTGATACAGCCTACTGATTCTATATGACTCATGTATCCAATTATTTACAATCTACCAATTTCGGGATAATCTCATCTCATCTTCAGGGGTGAAACCCTTCTCAGGTCGCGGTGAAGGGACGGTAATCAGCCCATTCAGAGGGAACCTAACCCAACATTACCTACGACGGCGCTAGTCTGAACATAAAAATCACCCAGTGTCCTTTCAATGCTTTTGTGAATGCCTACGTTGAATGAACATTTGAGTAGGGACAAATCATTGTTCAACTGATGTAAAGAGTAGTTGTTTCGAAATCCGAAACAAAAGGCTACTGGCCTTTTCTCAGTGGGTGCCACTTTGATTGTACTGAAACGAGTTTTGTTTTTACGATTGTTCTGTCAACGTCAGGCAGTATTCAGGACCAAAACCAAATGAATTATGATAATATTATAAAGTTCTCTCCCATCGCTGTTACTATTTGACATCGTCTTGGATCCATGCATTTGTGGCATGTCGTTAGTTTCGTCTCTGTACAGTATGGAAATATATCGGGTCCTAGTTGAAGTCACTGGATGATATTAGTGTGAAAGAGTTCAGATACAGAAATGACAACTGTTAGTGTTTTTGAATGTTTAGATTCATTAAGTTACACACCTTGCATTGTGACCATATTACTCTGCTTAGTGGGCTAATACGTTGACATAAATTTAAGTTATCACTCAGGAATTCTTCAACTTTTCAAGCGAATAAAAACACTCTGAGAAAAATCCCAATCCTTTTCAATCCCAAGTACACAAGAGGACTTGATAAGGTTTTCAAAGACTTAGGTTTTGAAAGCGTCTATCAGTCTGTATCAAAGTTAGGCAATTCATAAGGTAATCCAAGAGATGAGGTGAACACACTTGAAAAGTCAGAAATATACGAAATTAGTTGTGATGATTGTGATAAAACAAATATAGGCCAAACCAGGCGTCTTATAAAAACGAGATTCGAAGAACACTTTGCACATTTGAAATATGATGGGTGTAGCCGAACACTTGTTCAATCACAATCATAACACACATATTAATAACCTCAAATTAGTTAAGCAAGTTGATAATGTTAGGAAATTAGATGCATATGGAAGCTTGCAGATATTTGAGAATAGTTATAGAATGATGAATAAGGATGATGAACATCATTTAGCACTCTGTATAGTTTAGACTCAGTTTAACATGTGAACTCAACCATGAATTACATTAACTTGGCGGTTATTGTCTACTTACGATTGGGTGGACATATTCCTATAGTATATAAGTAGCCCACAAGGATAGAGCATTCAGTTTCAATCTTTTTCAGAAGATGCTAACATAGTTAGCGAAACACGTGACGAGGTGTAAAAAATCGGTTTGGTTAGTGGTGAAACAGTCTGTAGTGTATATAGACAAAGACATATGAAACTCCAATAAGACTTTTACAATAATATCACAATGAAACAAATACACACACAAATTGTTGCGTTGAGTTGAAATTTTGAAATTAAAATTGAAATATCGATAGATTTACCAAGCGCCCATTCAAATTCTTTCATAAAGTGAGGAGAACAATCTATGAGGATTTTACACAGTGTAAGTTCCAATTTGCGAACAGGCAGAATAGTTTGCTAGTTTTGTGAGAGAGAATTGAGTATAGTATAGTATTGTGGGAGTGCTTGTCACTATTCTACTTGTACAAAATTTTGATTTTCATGAACATGTCATCAGCTCAAGGATGAATATGCCAGCACTGACTATTGACATTCCATGTTCTTTGAATATGTTCTTACACGGAAAAAAGGATTTGCTGCATCAACAAATTATTTATGCTTGAGTTATTCTTGTTGGGCTGAGCAATTTTTTGTTGAATCAACCAGATACATGATTATTCCATGGAAGCAGCTTGTTCAAATCAAGAATGTAGTCTAATTGAATCAACAGTAAAATATCAATTCCATCAACAAAATATATGGTTTCTTCAAAAACGAATTATGTCGATCCAAAATAATGTCGATGTTGATTCAACTATAAACATTTCGTTGATTTGATCAAACAATGATCATTTTGATGAGAATATAACTTTGAAACAACATACAAGTTTTCTTATTCCGATGTAGCAATTAACTCTTTTCGAACGGATCATTTGCTTGAATCGAGCAACAAAATATGTAATATCAATGAAATATTTTGTTCATTCTACATCAAGTTGAATTTTCGCCTATACATGGCGATCAGTTCGCCTCGTATAAACGTGTTCGAAATATCAGCTAGATAAATCGAACTTAGGATGATTAGCAATCCGAAATAGTTTTCCATCATCTAAAGAGAAGTAAAGACTAAAGATCTATGCTAGGAGTTACGAAAATTCCCGAATATTGAATTTGGTTCAACAAAACAATTTGTCGAATGGATATATAGTGTCTCTTGAATCAACAAAATATTTCATTGAATTAACCAAATATTTCGTTGAATCAACCAAATATTTCATTGAATCAACCAGATATTTCTTCGAATCAACCAAATATTTCGTTGAATCAACTATATAATTGATTGAATCAATATCTTTTTATTTTGAATCGAACAAAATGTTTGTTTGAGCCAATTCGATATCTCTTCATGAACAATTCATGGATGTGCTTGATTGAAGAAGTTCCATAGTTCATGCAAGACATATTTACTCAATTCAAACTCGCTCTGAAACAAGATATAGATTTACTCATTTCAAGATTATATTTTGTCGTGCATGTATGACACTTTTATTTGCTCCATTCAATTACATTTTGCTTGATTCAACGAATTTTTTTTTCCGTGTAGATGAGTGAGTTGCTGGGTACTGCGTACCATAATGGTACCCTCACTCAGGCACTTATCCTATGAAGATAGATTAACCCGATTGAAGATTCCATTTCTCAAAGACAGACGAGCTTGAGGAGATGCTATTCTCACCTACCTCATACTGCACGACACATTCTCCATCGACATGCAGCATATTTTTGAGCTGAACACGGACCCCAGGCTGAGGGGACATACAATGAAGCTCAAATGCGAAAACTTCAAGTCCACCGTTAGGCAGAGTTTTTTCGCCAACAGAGTATTTGGGCTATGGAATTCGCTCCCAGAGGCCGTTGTGACAGCTCCAAGCATGAACAGTTTCAGAAATGGTTTCGAAGCGTTTCAGTGTTATAATTTCTGACTGTACCTATTGTGTTGATCTCCCTTATTGTCCCCTTATTGTCGATATTTTCTATTCTTATATTTTTAAGTTATCACTTACTCTGTACTGTGATGTTAATTTATACTTCTGGGCATGATAGGCTCTGCCTCTGACCTCATTGTCAGTTAATGATAATAATAATAATAATGATAATAATAATGATAATAATAATAAGACCGATATACTCATTAGTGTATAT